GTCTTATACGAAACCCCAGTGGGATTCTGTAAGACGTCACTGAGAACATTAGAGCATCAGTGCGGGACCACCTGAGTCTTTGACTCCAAACTTTGTCCTTTACTGTGGATGGAGAAGAGATGACTGTCTGCTGTGGGGGGCCGAGTTCAGGGACCCCTGCTCCATCTCAGGCAGCAGGCAAAGCAAAGCAGAGATTCAACGCCTTGCTATGTTTGTTAAAGCAGTGACGGCCTGTGTGTGTGTGTGTGTGTGTGTGTGTGTATGTGTGTGTGTGACAGCAGAGTAGGCAGTCAGATAAGACAAAGACATAAAGGCAGGTTTTCAAACCGTGTGATGAAATAGTAATGTGACTCAGCTGAGCGTGTTGAGCCGTGTATGACTGGAGATCATCTCTCCTGTGAGAGCCAGGACCCTCGGGGGGTCCTGGCTCCCTGTCGTGGTTCGTCTGTAGACTTCCTGTCAGAGCACGACACCAAATGCTGCAACAGAAAATGTTGGGGAGTCACCCTGATCTCCACCAACGGTTCACTCACATTTTGATATTCCTTTAAGAGGTTTCAGTTTTGTTGGTGGAAACATGGAGAGCTGCTGGTCTTTCTGTCTGAACTGAAGGTTTAACATCAGTTTTTGTAGTTGTTTAAACCAGGGGTCTGCAGCCTGCTGCCCTGAGGCTTCAGGTGGTCCTTTAGTTCCTGTAACTTTGACCAAACAAACCATGGAGTGACGACATTTGGATTCAATAACCGCAATAACAAAGGCTAGTGTTAGCAGTTCTTGGAGCATATCAGTTTATTTGGACTAGTAGCTGGTGAGTTAGATCATTAATCCAACTTTCAGCCAAACAAAAGCTGTAGCATTCATATCATCCACCACCGTTCATGTCAGAGATCACATGATAAGGAGGGACAGTTAAGCTGGTTTGTTCAAACCTTGAAAATAATGTCTAATCTGATGCTAAGGATAGTTAGCTGTGGTGGCCATCTTGAATTGGGTTGACTCTAGGGCTGCCGCAAACGATTATTTTTATAGTCGATTAATCACCGAATATTTTTTTTGATTATTCGACTAATCAGATCATACGTTAACTGAATATAAAACATAGAGCTCATTGTGCCAGAATGCAGCTGCTATAACCATTTTTAGATTTTAGCTATATGTTAACTAAAAATAATTGCTGTGGAAGACAGTTCTGCTCTGCAGATATTGCACAGGTTTCTCTTTCATTTTCTTAAAATGATCCCACACTTTGAGCTCTGTTGTCAGGTAGCCATGATACCAGAGCCTGTCTGTATAATGTCTTGTGACGTCCACGGCCTACCCCAGTTACCACTACTGTGCATGTGTGTCAAGGACAGAAAGGCAGATGTGGCAGTGGAATGTGTCAAAGCAGTTTGGAGAGAAAAACAAAGTAATAAAAACAAAACAAAAAAATGACTAATCGATTATTAAATTAGTCATCGACTATTTTAATAATCGATTTGTCGTCGATTAATCGACTAATCATGGCAGCCCTTGTTGACTCCAAAAATTAATCACTTGTAAATTTGTTAATCCAATAGTTCCAGTAAAGCCCCAATTTTCGAGTGGGTCACGGTCAGAGCACCAGCTATATATGAAAAAAGGTGAATTTACAGAGATTACCGCAAAAGACTATTAGGTTCTATGAAAAAAATTTCTGCAAAAAGTCCACATACTGAAACACTACTTTGCAGGGCTTCACTGTATTTTCTGACAATTTGATAAAATCTGTTGAATGGTTCTTATATTTTGCCATTCTTACCTGAACAGAGATGGTGAAAGTAATATGAGCCTTTAACTGTTTTATAAGCAGTGTTTTTATAGCATCTAAAGAGTCGATTTATGTTTTATTTACTTCAGCCTTCGAACACAGTTTGTAGGTCTGAGCAAATTGTATTTATTGAGAGAAGAGGCAGAAATGTGTCTTCATTGTAAAGGATGTAGACCCCTGAATTAAACAAGATTTCATTCCAACTTCTGGCTCAAAATATAATAATACTTCTTGGTTTACAGAGAAGACAGAAAGGAGTTTAAAAACCAGCTGAAAACTTTGATTTTCTCCACTGGACCCATGAAAGCAAAGAAATGGCGACAGGTGGAAATTCACATGTTGATAAGGACTGCTGTAAAGTTTTTATGTTTTTGGCAAGGATGGTTGTAATTTAATTTTCATCTATACATTTCTAACTAAACTGCTAGGTTTATACATTTTCTGTGGCTCACAAGAGCTTCAAAGATGCATTAATGTCTTAAAATAAGCTTTTGCTGCCTTAAAGGCAACATGAGATGAGGGCATCCCACCACTAGTGGAGGTGCACTGGGTTCAAATCATAGAGTTATTTAAAACTAGGCTTAGTCCACCTATCCTGTCCATTGTTAGCAACTGTGACAATATGAAGGAGCAGAAATGGTGACCTAGCAGGGCGTCATCTCACAGCCCTCTTAGCAGCTACTTGATTGACAGGAAGCCCCCCAAAAATGTGTTTTTTTAATAAATTAATATAATTGCTAAGTATGTTAATTTTTTCAATAATCATACAAAACATATAAATTTATAAGTAATGATCCAAACTAGACCTGATGTCTGTTAATAACATAGACTTTATTAGTTGAAGTCAATTTTTCAACTACCGTATTTATTCAAGTATAACACGTAAAATTAATTAAAATCATCCATAACGTTGGGGGGTAGTACTATACTCGGATAAATATTTTTACTTATGTATTTTAGCTGAATCGGCTGCATTCACAAAATGCATGAATCCTTAAATGAGACCGCGTCGTAAAAAGCAGTTGAAGCGATCTTACCTCTGACACTCCTCCGTGCTTCAGAGCGAGATAGTAACAGATCCAGGCAGGCGACATGATGTGAAAAAAAGGGTGAAAAAAGTATTCCAGCACCTTAGTAATGATAACGAACTAATGACATTAGCGTGTGACCGGGCCGCTCCTCGAACAACAAACACATGTTCGTCTGTAATGGCTGCCGTCTACTGGTGTTCTGAAAAATTTGTTTCCCTGAAAAAAACGTTTCCTCACCAGAGGGGGCGCTCGCGAGTAGTAAGTAATCTGCTTTTCCCCCACAAGATGGCCCAAATCTAATGTGAAGTCTCTGAATTTTGTGTTGGCGCCTCCTGGTGGACTGTGTGTAAAATGCCAGAATTCATATGATGCTGCTACAGCTGATATATATTTGTTGTCAAAATACCTTTTAGTACATGTGTTGTTAAAATAAAATGAACAGTCCAATGATCATTTTACTGATATGTATAAAGACTYRAAAGGCTGAAAAATCTTGAAGTCTGTATGAAATTGGAGGTAGTTTGAGGATTAAAATTTTTATGCTTTTTAAGCTCAAAAAACGGGGAGTCACATTATACATGAGATCGTATTATACACAAATAAATACGGTAATTAAAATATTATTTCTTACCTGTCATGAATAATAATAGATAAATCACCAGTTGACACTTAGAAACTGTTCACTTCATACTAATACAAGGTGATGTGAGCAACAAAATATATGGCCTAATCTACATTTTTTGCAACTTGTGGACAAAAAAACGCTGTGATTTTCTACAATTGATTGTTAAACTGTCACACAGTCACTAACTAAGAATATAGTGAGACCTCAGCTGAAAATGCACACATTTCTTTTGTGTTCTTGCAGTTTTGAGTCACCAATTAGTCTTCGTACACGTCAAGTCAGAAATCTGTAGCGGGCGGGCGGGGCGAGGCGGAGGGGTGCAGGGAGGTGGAAAACAGCCTGTGTTAAAATCAGCGTCATTTACAAATAATGGGCCTCATGCAAGAACATGTTCGTATTCTTATCCTAAATTTCTCTTACTTTTGTTCGTACAAAGGGTTCGTACGAACATGTCACGTCAGATTCAACAAACTCTTCTATCTTCAGGAAAAGTGTGTAAATGAGCAGCGTAAATTCCACCTGTTCTATCCAGCTGCTCGTGCACGTGAGAGGAGATTAGCATAATTACCACCCCAAAAACGCCGTATAAGGCTATGTTTCCTGCCTCAGATACAAGGAAGTGTCCATTCATTCATGAAAATGACAGCGAAAATTAAAAAGAAAAACTTTACGAGTTCAGAGATTGAAGTCCGTCTGTCAGAGATCCAGAAAAGAAAATCTGTCATTTTTAGCAGGTCAGCTGTGGAATAAAAAGAGCTGCTAAAAGCATAAACAACTGTGTTAAATCATTTTCATTCATTCAGAAGCGGCAGCGATGCGCACTGTACAGAGTCGTCATCGTCCCCCCCCCGCGCGGTCGCAGGTGGTCTCAGATGCGCTTTCTGAAATAAGCATTTTAAAATGTTTTCAAAATATATCTGGCACTTTGGAGAAAATGTATCCCCTCTGGTCTGGGAACGTCTCGGTGTCCCCCAGGACGAGCTGGAAGGTGTCACTGGGGAGAGCGGGGTCTCCTGCTGCCCCCACGACCCGATCCTGGATAAGCGGCAGAAAACGGACAGACAATAACTCTAATTCCAGCAGAATAGCCTATTGTCAACATAATTATAGAGTGTGATTTATTTTCAACTCAAAATATCTTCAAACTAACGAAATATAAAGTTATTAGTGAAGAAAACCCGTCTGGATAACAGCAGACTGACTGCTCGTAAAATATACGACAGGTCTGGACCACTCGTAAATTTTGTTCGTATCTGAAAAAAATCTTAGAATACGAAAACATTGGTGAATGCCACAAATTCTCCTAAATCACTCGTACGCACAACTTAAGAACAAATCTGTGCGTACGAACGGTTCTTGCATGAGGCCCAATGAGTTTTCCACTGGTTTAGAAGCTAAAGGGAAGAAGATGAATATAAAGAGAAGCAGTCATGGACTGTGGATGGTTCAGAGTTGAGTTTTTGTTGGATGAGATGATTCTGGGTTTTGACTTTAGTTTTGGCCCAATGAAACATGGATAGGCTGCCAGCCAGGTAAACATGGAGTCGCCGCTCGGTCTTTAGTTCTTTGCTGCGTAAACCTCTTACAAAGACGATTAGTTCTATTTTTTGCCAGAAGTTGGAATAATACCAAATTTAGACACTCCAGTGTGAACCCTGAGTTTGGATCTAAAGTCATACATTGGCTTTAAAGTCACACAGGTGAGTTAAAATAACCAGAGGTCAGTGAAAGTCAGGTTTGTTGCACCTGTCGTGAGTCCCAGAGCTCAGAAATCGATGTCAGTGTAGATCCAGGTGGATCTCTGTTAAACTAGAAACTCTTTGAGTGTGAGCTGTGTTAATGTCTGAGTGTGTGTGTGTCAGTTTGTAGTACTGGGACAGGCTGCAGTGTGAAAGTAGGACACTTCTGACTGATGCTGCTACTTGAATAAAGACAAAGAGTCAAACGTTCTTGTGTTTCATCATTTCTGCCTTCATGAATATCAGCTTAACTTCATGAACCCAGAGTGAAGCGTAACGCCTCACAAACTGTCTTTGAACGGGTGCTAACTCAAGATAAAGGTGCATTCTGACAAAATTACAAGGCCGAATCTGTTGCGCTCCTCAAAGGGAGTTCTCAGCTGCGTGATTAACATGTAGAGTGGTAAATAACCTGAGTACATTTTTACAATCCAACGTAACCCTCTGTAAGGTCAATGGGAAAACAGCTTTTAGAGAATTACTGTAGTTTTATTTGTAACTTTACAGTTGACCCTTTCCACAGAGGCAAGACGTTTGACAGTG